GAATCATATCAGTATTGGCAGATAGTTGTTGCAGAAAACTAGCAGTATCGGACAGATGTTTCAATTTGGCTGATATTTTAAACCAGTATTTGATGATGCATTTGATAATGTATTCATTTGACTCTATAAGAGCAGAATTTAGCTAACACAGGGCTACTGTGCTAAATTTTATTAATTTCACTGAATTTGCAATATATTGCTCTATAAAAGTAAATTTAGTCCTAATTACTACGTTTTATAATTGTTTAGGTAAAACACTAGCAACTTTTTACATGAACAATATCAGCCAACAGCTCCCATATCAATGTCTTCCTAACTGTCAAGTGAGAATGGGCAGGATATGAGTAGCTTTACCTGGGGGCCAATACTTACAGTTATTGTAAGAAGAAAGCAATCTCTATCCATCAGACAGGTACACAGGGCGAATCTCTACATGAAAACATGAGAATGTGGGTCAAGGTGCCAAATAGAATGGGAAAAACAAGAATAAGGAACTGGCTGAGAGACACACAGAGACATTGGCAAGACTTTGAAACAAACGAGGCCAAACAACGAAGTATATATACTAGAGTTAATGAGTCCAGAAACCTGCTGCAGGTGTATTTGATGTGTCCTTTTGCTGTCTCTATAGATGGGAGACAGCATGGAAAACATCTGCCTATTGGCCTCTAGTTCAGCCGCATGCCACCTCTGCCACAAGTCAGAATTTCTGCCCTGCTAGATCTGCCCCTGTCAACTGTAAGTGCTATTATTGTGAAACGGAAGCGTCTACGAGCAACAACAGCTTAGTTATGAAGCAGTAGACCACACAAACTCACAGAGTGGGTCTGCTGAGTGCTGAAGCGCACAGTGTCTATCCTCTGTTAAATCACTCACTAAAGAGTTCCAAATTGCCTCTGGAAGCAACATCAGCAAAAGAACTGCATGTTAGAAGCTTCATGAAATCTAACCCCATTGCCTGCTTGACTACATTGTGCCAGCTGTAAAATTTGGTGGAGGAGGGATAATGCTACTGCGTCGTGTAAGTGTGCATCTTAGTAGAGGATGTGTTAACTCATTTTCACTTAGAAAATCAACAAAACAATCTATAACCAGGGGTGCCCAAATGTTTGCAAACGACTGTACATAAATTATATATATATATATATACTCCCCATTCCCGTGTCCCTGAAAAGAGGTGTAACTGTCAACGTCTCATTCTGTTATCATAAAACCATAAAAATGAGATCAGCACTGTGTTGGTTTTCTTTCCAATTTATTTGAAAAAAATATAAAATTTAATATATTACACTACAAAAGACATTTACACAAACATAACACACTTACAGTAAAAGGGAGTAGACAATCATCACAACAACTATTTTTCTGTGCTTTTACCTTTTTTTCCGTTATTGGAACAATTATGATCATACTCTCAACAGTTGTGGCTTATGAGATTCAAAAACATAATGCTGAGAAAACGCATTGTTACCACACTACACCTCAACACCATGCATACATCTGCATTAATAGGCCTGTGGTTTCTGTTCCATATCATCTGCAAATCTGTTTATCTCTTCCATGCCAGTGTTTCCCAGTGAAGTCCCAAGAGGCCCCTTCCCTTATTTTTTTAGGCCTAATTTTTATTTGTTTGAGGCCTACCCGATTTATCTGATCATCTGAACAGATACGTTTGGCTCTCCTGCTCTTATACTGCCTCAAAAAAGAGTATGTTTTGTTCATGTTTTACTGTAATTACTATCTGTGCTGTTATGTATTAATCCTACATGTATGTAGTGGTCAATTATCAACAAATATGATGTAAATTGGTTTGATCTATTTTGCTTAGCATTTTCTAAAACATACATGTTGCTTAAAGGAATAGTACGGACAATAATTTCAGTGTATTTCCCTGTACTTGGTAAAAAAAAACAGAAATACCATTTACGTAAAAACACTTCCTGTAGAAGCCAACGGACAAGTGCTGAAGCAAGTGCCCACCGGCTTTCATTATAAGCATGTCAGTGTGTTTTTCTGTTCTTTTCTATTTAAAATTAAAATTATAGCCTGCGGTAGTCAACCGTATGACACAGATTCATCAGAGAGAGGTTAGGTTGAAGAATGCTGGAGTGTGCCATTAATTTCTGACAATGTTTAGAATTACAGAGAATTCTTCATCTACTGCAGTGATGCTGATGCCTACAGGAATTAAGCACTTAAAGCACACTGCAATGGGTTCACAACCTTTTATACATGACTGTGAGTCTGATTAAATTCACAAATTTGGAGCTCACAAAGATTAGTTTAACACTGAAAAAACTTTCTATTCTCTTAAGAGCTTGTGTTAGGTGTGTGTGTGTGTGTGTGCATGTGTGTGCGTGTGTGTATAGTACTGTGATAAATTCAGAGATCACTCTTCATTTCAACAACCAAAACTGTCCCCATCAAAAAAACAACATTTTCATTTTTGAGGAGAAAATCAAGCTCCACTCTTACTACAGATGTGAAAAAATCCACAGGTGTTTCTGTCCATCCTTCCACTGTGAGAAGACAACTCAACACTATGAGTCTGAAAGGATGTGTAGCTGTTAAGAAGCTCTTACTGAGAAAAAGAAGAAGAAAAATTGCACTGTAACAGTGAAACAGGACTTCTGAGATGTGCAGTAAGGTTACATGGACTGATTATTCTAAATTTGTAATTGAGATTACTTGGATTGTGAGAAGCATAAGATAACCAGCTTCTAAGACTGATCAGTGGAGCTGCCCTGCAAGAAGCAAGTCTCCTCAAAAGAATGGAAGCTGTAATAAAGGCAAAGCATGGACACAGTAAATACTGAAAAAAAGTGTATTATATTTAGTTCTTGGGTCTTCTGTGTAATTTTCTGCTAAAAAAATGTTTTCTTGATGCTAAAAAGTAAACAACCTGTACTTAGTGGCTTTGACTGGAAACTAAATAAATGAAGGAGTGTTCTCTGACTTTTGCACAGTACTGTACATGAACAGGATGTTAAAATGTCACAAAACCAACTCATTCTATAACACTACTAAAGAAAACAAATGCCTAGTTTTCTTTTAGGGACTCAAATAGGGTCAAAGTGCTTGTTTCTGTTTGCTTTTTTATTGTGCTATCATTTCTAATAAGAATGTTAATTTTAGATTTAGCAACAAAATCAGCCCAAATGTACAGGAATTAAAATTTACCTGTCCAGAACAGAAATATGCATGTTTTTTGTTCTTGGACCCCTTGATGAGAAAACTATTTGGTCATAACTGGTGGAGATGAACATAAAGTTGCAAAAATACCATTTAAATCTCAAAACACATTCGGCAGAAAACAACAGGACTCTCAGCACAAATGAAGCGTCGTGACAGAACTTGATTAAGGTGCTGATTACAGGAAACAAGAAAGACAGCACTGAACTGAACTTCACGCAATAGTTTGATGATATGATTTTTTTCAGTTTGTTCTTCACTTCCATCTGAACAATGAAACATGTTGTTACTTACAGTATGTAAGTGAGCAATCAATAATTGGCAGTTAAGCTCCATGAGTAATTACAGGTAACATTGCATATAAGAGCATATGCAACAACAGAATTCAGGCATCACCTCATAAATGATCCTAATTCCATGAAATAAATACTGCATCACAAGCTACTGTTCATAAGGTGCAAATTAGATTGCGGTTTGTTTTGTAAAGTTTTGGGAAGATGTGCAGTCTAAACATAAACTAAGGCCTGATTATAGTAGTCTTAACTTAGCATGTCAGTTAATTAGTCTACTAAAGGGCTTATTGTACTAAATAAATGGAAGCACTGAGATGCTATGCAACAACTACTGCTGCTTGTGCTTGAGGAGTCTGACCTGTTTATGCAAGCTAAACTTCTTTCAAAGCTAATGATCAACTTTCCTAAACTGACCAGTGTACTTGCACCATTTGTAACCACAAATATGACCTGAACATAACCTAATTTGTTCCTTGTTGAATCCAATATGAAGGCAGTGCTGGCTCAGACTTTCAGTAACCGTTTCAGTTCTTATTTGATTATTTGATTCTTTCTGATTTTGCAATTCCTCAACAAACCATTCTTTTTCCTGACATTGTGCCTCTGCAGACATGCACTCTCAGCCTGACATGCACTGCCACAAAGTTTTGTTGGTCTGATGATCAAAAACAGTGAACCACATACTATTTGGCTACATGAGTTACACCGAATGGATTTCAACTTTGTCATACTGATAATAATGGAATTAAATAATACAGTAATATACAAAACAATTATTATTATTTTACTTTAGGACATTATGTCGGGTTTATTAGCAAAAAAAGCATACAGGCTACTGCTGAAACTCATGAAAAAACACATTAAATAGAATTCTATGGCTGTGTTATATACATAAAATGGATTAAGTGATGATATGGTTACTGAGATAGAAAAAGAAAACTACGAATTTGAGACTGTTTTAAGATTCTTCTCGACTGACTAAGCAGAAGCAGCCAAAGGTTAACATCTCGTTGGGCTGCTTATGCTATTGTGGCAGAGAGTGCCTGTGTTTGTGACATCACTGTAGCTGGGAGTGCATGTCTGCAGATAGACTCAGATAGAAAATTTCGACATAATTTAATCATTAAGATGTAAACAAAGTAATTCAGAGTGGTTTGCTGTGAAATGCTCTGTTCTAGAATTGTTCACAGTGTTGGTGATAGGACCCAGACATCTGAAGACTTTATTGCCTATAAAAACTACATGAAAAGTATATTTTTACAATATGCTAACGGTGGAGAAGTACATGCAGGGCCTGTCTAAGGCAAATAGCCCCAAAAGATTTATCACTAGTTACTGTTGATTTACCAATTTCAACATTACATATCGCTGTTGTCGGAAAAAAAACCTCTCTAAAATGGTAACTTTACATTTTGAAACAATGTAAAGGGCAACAGGTTTTTTCAAATTATGTCAAAAACTGGACAGTGGGCAGACAACCTTTCCTATCACCACCACTGTAAAGAATGACTTTGTTTGCATCTCCCCAACTGAATTATGCAGAAATTTTGAAAAATTGGTGGAATCCCCCTTTAAAGAACTGAAATAATAACTGGCCTTCACAAGCTGCTCTTTAGCTGACATTCAGGGAGAGTATTTCCACTAACTCATTTTGCTCAAAAAGACACTAAAAGGTAATGTTGTTCATACTGTGACTACACTAACTTGCGTCCATTTAAGCCATTGAGTTAAAAATGATATGCTAGACAAAAAGAGCAGAATTGAATAAATAGAAATGAATATCAATGTAGCACAGTCACCTGCAGAATTCACACATCAAGTGCTGTAAAAGGACCAGCTGTAACTGATGAGTTACAGAAAAGCACTATAAGCATTTCTTCACCATGATGAACGTACTGTACACCGTTTACTAATGTCTTCCAGCTAAAAGTATATGAACCCCACATGAACATGGATGGATTTTCTCTTTTCTGCTTTATCTAACTATACACTATTTACACACAGTTTTAACAATGAACAAAATACAGTTCTGTTTTTGAAGCGTCATACTTCATATGTACCCCCCAGCTTAAGACACATATGCTGTGCAAAATGAAAATCTGTACATACGTATCCATTGCTTTTTCCACTTAGAAAGCAAAGAAAGAAGGAAAGAAATTAAAACAGTATGAAGCTTGAAATCTAATATTGCTTTGTAATACACAACCACTTCTTCCTTCGACCAAATAATATGGTTTTCAATCTTACTGCATGACCTTCGCTCCGAGTGATGTTGTGAGGAATAAGGAGTCCAGCTTAAGTAGACTGTAGGTTCTGTTGTATTTCTGGAGGTAATAAGAATTGTTGCATGAGGTTTCGAAAAAGTGCTATACATTCGGCCCAGAGACTCCTGACTGTGGTCCTGGTCAGTGGTCCTACCTGGAGATGTGCCACACTTTTCCAAATTTTCTTGCTTTCAACACGTCCAATTGGGTCCTGCTGTAAACTGTCAAAGTTGTCAGTCTGCTGAGGAGCTGTGCATAAACACATAGAGCGTTTTTAGTCCAGCCTTTGAGCCATTCCCCCCACTGTTGCTCAGGAACATCAAGTCGTTTCCTTTCAATAGTTCAATAGTTCCATTCAATAAATAAGTGTCCATGGTAAAAAGTGCTAGGCTACTACTGTAGGTTCAGCAGGTCTAAGGGCAGCCTCAGACAGGTATGGTGGCATTCATCATCTGAACTCGCATCTCCTGGATGCTGTTGAGGATCTTTTTCTGGTGCCCAGCCAGCGTGACGCCAACCCTCCTCAGATCACTGTAAAAGAGGCAAGACAAGAAGAAGAATATCTTTCAAACCATTGTCAAAACATGTATTTACAGTAATAGTGCTTCAAAGGCTAAAAGACATGCATCAGTTGAAGATTTAGGAATATAATCTGATAAAGATTTCAAGGGTTTATTTAAACTTAAGGGTGAACTTTTTTTTATAAATATAGAAAACAGTAATTCTTGGATAAATGGGAAAAATACTGACTCACATAATTAGAACAACAAGCAGTGAAAAAACTACTTGGACAGTGTCCACAATTTTTTACCATGATTTAAAAAAATACTACAGCATTTTTCAATGTAATCTCCAACATGTCATACAATTAATTATCAAGCACAAATATTCACTCTCATTTGTCTAAGATCAGAAAACATCTTGACTCAAAAACACTTAAAAGAAGCCAACAGACAGTTGCTGAATTCCATCAGCCAGCCTTGCACAGAAAAACAAATACAGTTTAAAAAGTTAGTGTTCAGGCTGCCTTTAAATTCTGATTCAAGTGAATTTTGAATAGTCCATGAGTGGAACAAGAACCTGTGTTTTCAAATAAAGTTCAAATAACTCAAAGTAAAATTCCCCCCAAAAAATTACAGTGTGGAAAGTTTTATTCTTAGGCATGTAATGTTACAGTGTAAAAGTTCTGTTTTTATTTTTGCATTACATTATCATTTATTTCAAATGTTCAAAATGTCTTTTATTATCTACATTTCACATCAATAATATAGAGGGACATGCATCATTATTGTCCAAGGTAATTAGATTTACAGATGTGGCAGATACAGACTTCGTTGAAAAAAAAAAATCTGAAATATTACTTTAATAGATATGAGTAAACTCAAGGATATATAACCCTGGCTTTTACGTTGCTTCTGTACTTGCTGAACATAATACTGACATGACTGAAAACATTTGGAACCCTAATGCTGGGTGATTACATAAAAGCATTTCTAGACGGCTAATCTGATATGTACGTAAATACTTTTGCATGTAACCTGACTTGTGAAGAAGGCTCAATTTCTGTGGACACAATCCAACAATCCCTTTTAAAAACTGGCACTGTCTGCAGATGCAAAAGTGGTTTTAATTCCCAGATGCGCTTAGAATCCCAAAACTTGTTGTCAGACTAATCAAAACAAAGTCCTGGCACAATTAAATGGGGTTGCATTTTTAATGTGGTTGGACTGGCTGTTAATGTACGGCAAACAATGCCCACGACCCCCTCGGCAGGGAAACAACAGCGGGGGGACTTACTCCAAGGTCATCTGAGTGACTACTTCCAGTGAAGTGTATCCACTTTCCATGAAAAGCTCGGTGTATCGACCCATTTTTATGGCATCTAACCATTCCCCCACAGAGCTGAACACACAGATCTCTGCGCTGCCATGCTCCACTAATAAATTGGACACCCTGTGGGAAAGACAAATGGACCATTGAACAAATGGATGCATAAATCTAACATTTCAGTGCTACATAAAGACCATACAGTAAAGATGAAGACAGGCCTAAGTTGATCTTTTTGCCCATGTATGAAGACCTAATAAACAACAACACATCACACTAGCCCTATTTCTAATCCAGATGCTTAAGCTAAACATTCTTTCACAGGATTTTAAAGTTTAAACTGTTCAACTGCAATGTAATAGAAATGAGACAAATCAGCAGAGTTCAGCTTACCACTGCTCTTTACATGATATTTATTATTCTACGATTTATGACAGACTCATTATGATTATGAAATTAGAGCTCATTTACAAGCTGAATGTAAAATTAATATATAATAATCAGTGACAATTTAACTAAAGACCCAGTTATTGCTGCAATAGGCAACAGTGCGGAATTGCTGCGTTAATATGCAAGACCCACAAAACAAATTCCCTCACTGTAAATCAATTTCTTATTAAATGTAACCATAATTCCATAACACAATTGCAAATAATGGATGATTCCAGCATGTACAAAATACAGAGCGATTCACAACGCAGAAAATATATTTGATACCATGTAATCACCGTAATTGGGAGTCATTTGTACGCTGTCACTTCCGCTTAACTCAACATTAAATCATGAAATACCAGAGCTTATTTGTTTCAAGTGTCATTAAATCTTGATTTTGCGTGACAGCCATGCAGCAAGGGCTGTTAACACCGAGTTATCAGCGTTTCGCAGACATGACACAGTTTTTATGCTTGCAGCCTGGGATGATAAAATGGCATAAATAACAACAATATTTGCATTTACTTTAAAGGAAGCTACTCTAATAAATAAAACAGGGATGGAGGAGATACAGAGACACAAGAGAGAGCACACAGGTGAACTGAAAACAGAAAATGAGAACGAGACACATCTATACAGAGGTCAGAGGAAAGGGAATGCAATAGCATGCACCATAAATAATAACATTATAATAATTACATAAATAACCATTACAGTAACAACTGATGTACTCTTACCTGTTGGAGGGGTTGACGAGGCTTTTTAAGCTGCTCGGGTTGCGGATGAGTTTGTCCAGTAAGCTCACTATCTCCTCAAACTTGGGCCGGCTGTTTCTGTCCTTCTGCCAGCAGTCCATCATGAGGTGGTAGAGAGCTGTAGGGCAGTCCATGGGGCCCGGCAGCCGGTAACTCTCCTCTACTGCCTTTATCACCTGACATACACAACAAACACATATACCTAATATATTACCCGCATTGCAGGTGAAGGTGTATAGTAGTGTACACAATGTCTATAATATATAAGCTTGCTTATGCCAAGCCAAGAGGGAACCATATACAATACTGTGTAGAAGCTAGAGACCTCTCTTCATTTAACTTCCAGTTGACACAGCCATCAGTACAAGTCTTCACTTTTCAATGTCAGAAAACATATTTAACAGAAAATTACATTATTTAGTGAGCCCACCCTTCGCCATCTCACAACGACGTAATCCCAAACACATTCAGCGATGTTGAAGTCTGGTCTCTGGGGTGGACAGTCCATTGTTCCTAGAACACCAGCAGCTTCTTTGTTTGATTTGCAAATTATATTCTTTTTTGGTTTGTTTTCTCTTTTCAGTAAGGGCTTCTTTACAGCTACATATCCTTTCAGAGCCATAATGCTGAGTTGTCTTCTCACTGTGGAAGGATGGATAGAACCTTGGATTTTTTCAGACCTGAAGCAAGAGTGAAACTCGCTTTCCCTTCTCTATCTGAAGGCTTTAAGTACTGTTTATCTGATGGGGATAGTTTTGATGATTCACCCGGTCCTGTATGGTTGTTAGGAGTCCTGTTTTCCCTACATCTTAAAAAAAAAGCTAATTTCATTCATTTTTGTTTGACTTTGCCCTTCCTAATGCAAATGGATTATCTTAAACCTAATCTCATAACTTGTGCTTAATGGCTGTTTTGACCGGACATTAAATAAATTAAGGGTGGTCTTCATTTTTGCAAATTACTGTAGGGATAGTTTCTCAGACAGGGATTAAGGCTAGTGCTGGACTACATAGTATTTTGAAAGGAGATTCTCCTTTAAAAGGAAAGTGTAGTTCAGGACTAGGCTTAATCCCTACCCAGGAAATTAGCCCATACTGTTTATTGATTTAAGTGTTTACTGTATTTGTTGTAGAATAACTTTCAGTGTCAAGTATTAGCCTTCATTAAATTTCTGTAGACATTTTTGTTTGCTGTAAATTGTATTTTTTTTTTTTTTGTTCAACATTATACAAACAGCTCAACATTATACCAACGTTACTTTCAACTTTGTGATCTAATTGGCTGAGATGCATTCTTCCATGGCACTCTATCTTATTCTCATGTAACCCAGCAATAACTATTCATGCAAATTTCACTCGTCACAGTAAGAATGTCTTTTTGATTTTATATAACAATAACTTAAACTAGACGTTATATCGAATTCTAAATGAGGTATTTTTAGACATTTTATTCAATATTTGAAGAATTTAGGGAATGAGAAGATGTAATTGAAGGATAAATGATTTACTGTAATTATCTATTTATAGTAAGTTCTTGTCACATTTTCTGCCTCAAGGCCACCACTTTTGAACTACGAGACATTCTGAATATAATTTATGATGCTATTCATACTAAACTGCAAAGACTTTCACCTAATAAAAGAAAACAACTTATCAGACTGTGTGCTGGTTACACCAGGCTAAATTGGGAGCTCTTTTTGGCATGTTCTGTGTTTATTTAAGGTTTCAGAAGACTGCCAGGAGGCGAGAATTGACTACTGCATCGGGCAAGATGCCGACCTATCGTCTCTCTCTATATCTTTCTGCCTCTAACAACCCCCCCTCACTCCCACACTCACGGAAAAAAGAGAAAGCCAACACAAGAGCGGCTCAGAAACCAATCCCCGACGGCAAAATCTCACAGAGAGAGAAAAAAGGAGAGAGCAAGAGTGAGCGAGAGAGCAAGACATAGAGAGAAAGAGAGAGAGAGAGAGAGAGGGAGCGAGCAAGAGAGAGAGAGTCTGCTCTAGCAGAGCAGGGAGAGATCTGAGGCAGCCCTCATGAAGGCATTAAATAAAACATCAAATAACTTTCTCTTTCCCAAGTGAGCGTGAAACAGATTAATGATGGAGAGGAGAGGGGGATCTGAGGCTGGAATGAAGCCGTCACTGGCAGGCTAGCAGGGGGGAAAAAGGTCAGCGCTGCTTGATAAAAACATGACTGGAAATTGCACCTCCTTCAGGGGCATACTGAGAAAACTTCGGCATCGTGTCCTCCTTTTCAGTTTTCTCACACGCGCACGCATGCTACTGCTTGCACTGACATGTGACACTAGCATCCACATAAAAGATAAAACAAAACTGGAGGCAATGCAGAATAGCGCAACATCCAATTGACTCTTAATGACACTGTGTAATATGTAAAAAGTAATACTGAAGTTGAAAGTCTAGCGTTTCAAGACTAATTGAAAGCTCTGTCTATAAACAGCTTTGTAGCTGCGCGCTGTTTAATGCTGCAACACACGGCAGAAGCGTTGCTGCCAAATGAAATTCTACTTTCTGCACATTTATAAGACTCGCGCTGCATCTCTTCCAGCAAAGTTCACCAAGTTCAAACTCTGCTTTTGCTTCAGTCTGGCTTTACTTTTCCAGCTTCTCCCCTGCCTCTGATTCCTCTCTTCATAGACAAGCAACTTTTGACTCGTCTGCAGCCTAGGGGACGGTATGTTATCATTATCGTGATACATTTTGTCATAATATGCTTTTCGGTGCCACATTATTTGAAGGCTACCTACCTAAGACTTCCTAACACACGCATAAGCACCGAATAACATTTAAAATGCAATATTTGCAAGACGACACAGGATGTTTTATTATGTAAATGACATTTCGTTGACACAAGGGCCCATAAACTCAGGTGACAGATGTGTTAACACTCTTACAAAACTTTACTCCCAAATAATTGAACTTATACAACAAGAATGTATTTAAGAACACGATATACTGTTTCAGAAAATAGGGTTTTTAACTATGCCTCTGCCTTATAAGCTCTTCATTAAAACAGAAAAAATGTTAGTCACTAAGGCCCTTACCTCAATACAGTGTTATTTACTTCACAAAGTATCCTACATTGTCTTGTGAAAACTGACTGATTACTAAAGGCAAGTGTAATATAGTAACTGTATAGCATTGCTGTCAGAACAAAACACTTGTTGCTTCAACTTTTAATATATATTTCATATATTTTGCACCATTTATTTTGGTCCATTCATTGTGAAATGTTTACACAATGCAATGGCTTTGATACGATGGTAACAATAAATTGCACAGAATAGAAATAGCTGATTGGATGAAAGTCCATATGGCACTACTTTATCACGATGTTAAATTTTTGCATTATCACCCATTCTTACTACTGGGTGCTCCACTACAGCACTACAGCAATATCCTCTACTGCTCTAAATTGTGACCCCCATCCCCACTGACCATGTTTAAAAATGTCAATTATGCCAGGACTTGCCCCCATTCCCAATCAGTTTATGGACGGCTACACATACAGCACCCCATCTCTCAGCCTTCCAGTGCAAATCACATTGCACATACTACTCACATACAGCTTTAAAATGGCCAGAGGGAGCAATTACAGCACTGCTGCGCTGGATGACTTGGAAAGATCAACTGGGAGTCAAACTCACCCAAAGCCCTCACTTGCCTCAGAATTCATTCATAAATATAAGATCACAAGCCAAATAAATGTGAATGTGAATATAACTGATTGTTATAGCTGATATGCAGTATTTAACCTCTGTGTTATATAACTGAAAAATAGGTCATATTCAAACACCACTACACACTTAAAAAAGACAGTTCTTCAAGAGTTCTTTAGTAAAGAAAATGGTTTTATTTGGAACCATGAACACTCAAGGAAACAATGCATAATGAAAGGGTTCTTTACATCGTTAAAGGGTTCTTCTGAATGATGCAGTGTGTTTTATATGGTTCTAAACAGAACCTTTCTTGAAAAGGATTCTATAAAGCACCAAAAAGGGTTTTTTTATTGTTACAGGCTTGATATTTTCAAAAAGGTTCTATATAGAACCATCTACAGCACGTTCTTCATCAACCTGAAGACCTTTTTAACAATGCAAAAAATCCTTTAATCATCCAAAGCGTTCTTTGAGTGTTCATGATACTATATAGAACCATTTTCTTCACTAAAGAATTCTTGAAGAACCATCATTTTTTAGAGTGTTCCAAAGTTAAACTCACATTCAGTTTGAACAGAACACATTGTAAACTGTTCAGTGAATGAAAACTGATGCTTTAATGCAAACCTTGTTGTGGAACTGGGCTCTGCTGTTTAGTAGAGTTGTGTTCAAATGTACTGCAGCACAATAAGGAATTTTAATAAGTTCTGTAATGAATTTTAAAGCAAATCAATAACGATTTACATCCTAGGCATATGAATATTTAAAGCAATGCGGCGAGAGATAAGTAGAACAATATTGTGCGAGAAGACTCATTAAACAGCATCCTCGATGCTGTTTAATATCTTCAGCTCCAGAAGAAATTGAGTAAATGTATGAGTTTCGGGTAGATGAGGAAAATTTTTTAATAATGTAGCTATAGAACTGCAATAATTACCTTCTGCTTATGACGTTTCATGGTTTATTTTTGCACCATGGCAAAGTGTTTTATTTCCCATCCTTTTTCAAAATACATCTTCATCGAATCAAATCCGACCCGAGTTACAGCACCAAGTTTTGAAGCCTGACACCAAAAGGACCATATTAAACTGAACATTCCTAATGATAGTGCCTGATAAGCTGCCTTAGCGACAATGTTAACCCTTCTAGAAATAATGATAACAAAATCATATTACTTAGATCGAAAGAAGCAGAAAATTCAATTAATTTCTAAGACAGGTGGTGTGGAAAACATCCCTGCAGATTTCATTTAAAACTGAAAGCAAGACTCCTGAAAAAAGCTGTAATAAAGGCAAAGATTGGACACAGTAATTTTCTGTTAATTTACAGCTTTTTTCCTGATTTTGAGTAACTTGTACAAACGGGCTGCTTTGACTGAAGATTAAATAAATGAAGTGTGGTCTCTGACTTTTCCAAAGAACTGTGTATAGATGAGAAGCAATGACAGATCACATCCTGTCAGCTTTGGACAAGCTGATGAACTGCAAGTCTATGACAGTTTTACGGAATCAAGACAGCTAAGTGTTAAACTTACATCTTGATTGCTCATCTCCCAGTACGGCCTTTCTCCGTATGACATCACTTCCCACATGACAATGCCGTAGCTCCACACGTCGCTGGCTGAGGTGAACTTTCTGTAGGCGATGGCTTCTGGAGCCGTCCACCTGATGGGAATCTTCCCGCCCTGAGTGACAAACAGCACCAAATTAGATCAGAAAGTATTCCTGTCAAAGCATCCTTACCAGCACTTATCACTCCCTATTCACAGCTGGGGAAAAAAAAGGAACAGAGTGGGTAAATATGGTGACAGGAAGAATGCGGGACATGGATGTCTTTGCATTCTTCCTGCTAATTGGCTGTCCTGGAGCCGCCATTCTGCAATTCTGGCAGTGCCTCTCATATGCTATTAGTGAAGCACATCTCAATTTACTACTCCTTAGACAGCTCACACGAACACACAAACACAGACGCACACACAGAACTGTGACATGCCAAGGTGGAAATGATGAAAAGGGAAAAAATAATCACGCCGGCACCAATTACAGCAGCTGATGCTGAGCTACTAATTATCCCTCTTTCAAAGCCAGCATCACTCGGCTCCATGTTTATTAATAGCCAATTCAGCCTGGAGCCTAACGCCCTGCTGTAGACATGAGCCCCACTCAATAAAGGGCCCAGCAAAGGAAAATATTCACCTAATAGTATTATGACTACCTGCCATTTGTTGTAATGGACTCAAAGAGATTGTGATTTCCAGTTCAATACATGCTACTCATCAATGAAAGGAAGAGAGAGAGCAATACAGAGAGAGAGGAGGCAGTATTGAACAGTAGGGTGCTGGAGGCAGTTAGCTTTGTAGAGAGCTGAAAGGGTTCAAATTGGATTCTGACACAGATGGATCTGGAGTGCTGGCTAATGGCACAGGGGTCAGTGTGTGAGCAGGCTGGCATGACTCTGCACGTACACGGGTAGTATAGGCCGCCTCCGGGTCATCCTCCAGCACTCGAGACAGGCCGAAGTCAGACACCTTACACACCAGGTTGCTGTTGACCAGGATGTTGCGGGCGGCCAGGTCTCGGTGCACGTAGCCCATGTCGGAGAGATAGCGCATACCTGAGGCGATGCCACGCAGCATACCAACCAGCTGGATCACCGTGAACTGCCCGTCATTTTTCTGCAGGACCAGCCACGAAGAGATATTAGATACATCAGATACATAAGATCATTATCAGTATCAGTCAGTATGGGTGACATGTAAACTACGGTTCATAAATTTGGAGTCACTTACAATGATACAAAACCATTTTTACTGCAGATATATGTATAAACTGACTTCTATTATGATGCTGGCACTTTACAACTTCTGTTTCTAATGCAGTTTCAAATCAGTTGTAGGAACATGTAAGCAATAAATTTCAGATATGTCCAGAATAATGAACAGAGCTTTAGAATACTCTAAAATGACTGAGAAAGCTGTATAACATAGAAAATGAAGTTAGAATAAAATTAATTTTCAGAATGCTTCATAATTCAAAATTGGTAATCAACAAAATTAGAGAAATACAGCATCGTTTTACATGCCATTTATGGTGTAATGAAAGTGAGGACACACCTTCAAAAAGGTGTCGAGAGACCCGTTCTCCATGTACTCTGTTATGATCATCACCGGTTTGCCTTAAGAGTTGAAAGGAGAGTAAAACAAAGCATTATTGAGTGCTCGTCTTTATGAGACAGTTCATAAAACATAAAGGCTAAGAGGCTCAGTTAATCAAAGCTGCTGTTAAACAGTAAAAAAGTGCACTGCTAGCATAAATCTGGGACACTTCACTGAGTCATAAACTAATATTATACTTTCATTAAGATCTTCCTGATCCAGAGAGCCCATTAATAATCTTAACAGCTCTGATGTATTTACATACTGTATGGTAGTTTCACTGCCCTTGCACTTGTTTTGCATCGATGAGTCTCTGTATGCAGGGCACTCACTCTTAGTGACCACGCCTTCCAGGTGGATGATGTTGGGATGATCGAACTGGCCCATTATGCTGGCCTCAGCAAGGAAGTCTCGCCTCTGTTTCTCTGTGTAGCCTGCTTTCAGGGTCTTGATGGCCACGGTGATCTCTCTCTTCCCCGGCAGCCTCAATGGGCCACTACACACCTCCCCAAACTCACCTGTCAAACATGAGACAGACATGCCGTCAATCACTGAATACAGAGTGGATACGGAAAGAGAGACAGAGAGAGAAAGTGCATATATAACATGTTAATACAGAACTTATTAAGAATTTTATGTATGTAAAGCTACCAAGTAGAGTAGAACTGAAAATTCTCCAGCTGCCTTGTCATATATATGATATGCCTGACAAGAATCAGAAAATGTATTGTTTTAATTTTGGCTACGTTTTCTGACGTAAATAACATGAGACAGGTAAGTGCACTTGCGCTGTATTCTAATGACAAAAAAAGCTGTTACTGAGAAAACAAAACAGACAAAACACAACTGCACTAGAACACCAAAACTGGACATCTGGCATGTGGAGTAAGGTTGTGGGACTGATGAGTCTAATTTTGTAATTGGGATTACTTTGAACCTGACAAGTAGAAAATGCAACCAACTCCTAAGACTGAACTTTGGATTTTTTTTTTTAATATACTGAATGCTGAACTTGGTGTGGAAAACATTCTTATGAATTTCTTTGAAAAACTGAAAGCAAGACGTCCAAAAATAATGGAAGCTATAATAAAGGAAAATCTTGCTGCAGTCAGACCAAAACTTCGTATCTCCATTTTTGTCGTTTTTCAGTTGTCCTCTATATTGCGTGTAAATTTCATGATGAATGGAATGAAATAAAATGGCCCAGAATTTTTTGGAAACATGTCTGGTTCGATTGACTTACATTACACGTAAAGTATGTTTTTTCCTTCTCCTGTCAGTTTGGAGATATTAAGTTTTGGTCTGACAGCAGCGATATATATATATATATATATATATATATATATATATATATGTGTGTCACCCCTAACACATATATATTTTTTTTTATACTACTGTGAGTTTTACCTTAAGCTCAGGTCATACAGCAGATCACTAGTGACCCATGACCTCATTAAAGGTTATGACAGTTTTGCATTATCATGGAAACTGGCAGAGCATATTGTTTTAGAAATACCAGGTCTCTAACGACCTGAAGTGGGTGAAAAACTCATGTGTTAATGGTAAACTTTATGCAGAAAACTGGACAATACAGAAAACAAAACCTGTTTGAAAAAATAAGGGGAAATCTCAAAACTGCCTTCTGTTTTCCAGGTAAGTGAACCAACATTGCATCGAAAAACTTAATTAAAATTCTTCCAGAGGTTTCCTCTGTTTTTTTTTCTTTTCTGTATTTTCTTTTATTCATTTTTTTAGGCAGAGCATACTCACCGGCTCCTATCACGCGTTCTATTGTGATGCAGGAGACATCAATCTCTTTAGCAAACTCATGGACAGCCTGGTTGGGATCTTCGTAGGTGTGAGGATCAATGTAGGTACGCACTCCTGGGAATTTAACTGTGAGGAAAGACAGAGTGAGAAAAGAAAGGAATAACATTTCATTCATTCCACTGTGCAGCTTTCTGGAGGAACAGTTATGTAAGACAACATTACAGGTGCAGGATGTGAGAGTGGTGAGCTGCTGCTTAATGTGGCTCTCTGGGGAGAGGTGTTCTCCCCTTATAACCAACATACAGAAAATACTGAGTACAGCACTGAATACTGACAGAGAGATTCAGGCTACCTTGTATGTTTTTACGTGAGATGGAGACACGGATGCAGGAAGTGGAAGTGCTGAGGATGCTGCATCACCCCCAGATTCCAGGATTGCAACAGATAAAACTAATAATAAACATTCTGAATGTTATAATAATTTGTGCATAGTGCAGACAGTGCTTGATTTAGAGTGGAGTTTGTATTTTTATATTTTAAAAACCATCGTGCACTAGTCGTGCACTGTTTAAGGGAATGCTGTATTTTCATTATAGTGAGTAGATAACGGGTGCTTTGGGTGTGCACTGTTCAAACACACGCAGGTCTTAGTTCAAAGAGTGAAAGTCTATGCAGAGTTATAGGGCATTTCTGAGCCCCAAAGCAGTCTAACATTGTTTTTAAATAAAAAACAAATCAAAAGTAATGAAGGTTTTATCAATCGACACAATCGATTACCACGTCACATTTCAACAATCTGACTGGTCACCAGTCAGTTCTTTTGCATAAAGTTCGGCCAGGATGAGAGAGCTCTGCGAAGATGTGCATCAGTGGTTTGATGTTATATGTTTATATTGTCATCTCTTGCCTCATTTTAGCACTGTATGACATTCTGATGCAAATTAGCATAAAAAATTAAAAATTTCAAAACAGTCAAATCATTTTGTTTGACGTTATTCGCATCACATACACGCTACGCTCAACTTTAAAAACCTTCACGCATCCCTAGATGGAAATGTGATGTACATGTGACCACTGCTGTAGGCCTTAAGCTAGTCTGTAAATTCTGAAGTTTGCTGTATCCTCACCAATAATGGACACCTGTTAACAGTTTTTATCAGTGACTTGTTGCTATTATATAAAAACCTTGCAATTTCTTTTTTCTTTTTTTGCACCATTCAAATCTGCCATTTATAATGTGTGAACATTTTATGATGAATGGTCAATAGAAATAGTCCAAATTTACTTGGAGTTGAATTTGGTTATATTAAGAATAACTTAGTCAGTTTGCATTGTAATCCATGTAATTACTGTATAATAAGCCATAGGATATAACAACCCTGGGAATTTAAGGGGTTAAGAACATTTTCCTTTTAAAGCAAAGGCACTAAGACATATTCTAAGGCTTGATTTTCTGCAACTTGCTGATAGCACTGTTTCATGCTGATGGATACTTCTAACATTTGCTCACTTTTGATCAATGAGTAGCTCTGTTTAAACATTCTGGTCAAGTTAACACTGAAAGTAGTCTGAGCCTGGTGCAGAGAAGAAGAACTGTCTTTACTGAGAGATAAATGTGAGCACATACAAAGAAATCTGAAGGCATTTTATCTGGGTTTACAGCTCTATCTTTCTGTCTGTCTAGATCAGGTAGTGTTTTTCGTGCTGTATCATTGTTATTCATTGAATTGACTGTATAGTCGCATCACAATGTCCACTTCATTATAATATTTAAGTTTTGGCTTGGAATTTGTCAGTAGATCCATATGCGTTACCTTAACCCACACAAAGCTTAACTTTCCAAACAGCATTGCAAAAAAAATGTACATAGTTCTTAGATTTTAGTGTTGTGGATTGCAGGATTAGAAACAAAGAACCAAATAACACTATTATACTACACTAAACAATATTTTACTATTTTATTATCTTGCTGTTGATACGTCTTGTGCTCTGTGTTGTATATACTGTATAAATATTATATGTGCTGCAGCCTATCTTGCACAGGCCACTCTAGTAAAATAGCTGAACCATCATCAGTTTGGATCATCATCAGTGATGTTAAATTGGAATCACCCACTGCCGAAACACAGTTTGAGTGAGAGAGATTTCCTGTCAAAACAAAAAACTGTTCAAGGAGAGCTGTCATTACGTCACTTCGGCCTACTGACTGTTGCGACCAAATCAGAGGACTACAGATTCCTGCTGAACTCTGTATGAACTCAAATGTGCTGGTCCTTCTCTCGCTCACTCTCTCTTTCTCTCTCTCTCTGTGTGTGAGGTGACTTACTGTGGCCGTTGTGGAAGTGCATCTTCTCCTCCTCAGGATCTTGCTTAGCTTTACTGTAGCCACAGCGCCTGGGAAAAGAAAACAACATTCACTTTTTTAGTGGATATGTCAACATGGTTTCTGCTTACAAGCCCTTCTTAAGCCCTGTTAGAGCTGGATTAGATGTACCTGGGTAGGTACGACAATTAAGGTGTTTTGTAAGCTTTGCGATCTGAATGCATTATGAATCTGCAGTGCACTCTCAAACAAAAGGTACCTTTCAAGGTACAAACGCTGTCACTGGGGTGGTACCTTTAGGCAGCATTTTTGGTTAGGAAATATGATTGTACCATATTTATTTGCAATAATCTTTAATAATTTAAGTGGTGTTGACTTCATACACCCTATGTGACTCCAGGCTTTTTATTTTTTTTTCAATTTATAAAGAATGCAATATGAAAAGGTATAAATATGTTATAAATATGTATAAGTATGTATATTTAGGGAAACTAAATTTAGTGTAGCTTTAAGGTACACAATTAGACCTTAAGGACACTGTTGTACCTTTGAGGGTACAATTACACTGTTTATATTTTGGGGTACAAAAATATTTATGCAAAGTACCCTTTCGTCTGACAGTGTCTGTAGTTTTTACAGTCTTTTATAGTAATAACTGTGGAGTGAATGGTCTTCGGTAATTGGCTGCAGTCAGTGCTCCCTCAGTAACAGCAGTCTTGTTCCAATTCAGATATTTATGATAATGGAATAACAAAATCTTCTAACAGACACTACCATGTGGTGTGTTGTTACTGTTATCAAGTGAGACTCCAGTCATATAATGCTTCCCCACAGATACTTCAATACTCCAATACTGCTTTACTCCTAAAATCCTGATCAGTCTATGTATTTCTCCCTCTTTCCTTCCTCTCTCCTTTCTTTCTTCCATTTTTACTGCTTGTTTGGATGCAGAGCTGCTAATTGAAAATACTATAAATTATAGGAGGAGGCCTGCTGCACAGACAAATTGACAGGAAGACTGACATATTGACGGTTTCATCTGTGTTTCAGAAAGGAAGGAGCAGTCTTTTCCTTGGCCAGCAAGGTCCTGTACGTGTGTGTGTGTGTGAGTTTTCAGGAAGGAAACATCTTCCCACAGTGCTTGGATATGCCTGGGACAGATAGCACTTGAGTCAATGTTATGACAACACAGTGATGGTTTAGGATTGGATGACCTGAACTACAAAACTTCAAAACTGACCCACAACCAGCACGCCACCCATATGAAAAATGAACATACTGCAATATACTGTCAATGTACTACACTAAATATATACACTTTAAATAGCAGATATTTTAACATACATTGAATTTGGAATTTTGTATGGGGCAAACTGCTCTAAAAAACTCTACAAAAAATTCTGTTACATTTATCTGGTGCTCTATATTGTCTATACTGGTATACTGGTGTTGAGATCACATAATTTATGATACTATACATTACTATACATGCTATACGCTTTGACAGCATATTTGCACAGTGCTTTAGATTGCTTTAAAAGACAACAGTTCAAAATATATAGTATATTTCCTTTTTGGAAAGCTGTTTTTTGCCTGGCTACCATTTAAAATTCTGTATAAGGTTCTCTTTGTTGTCATTTTAGAAGAAGCAGTAGAGAACAAAACCAAGATTCCTTCTTTTTTTGGGTATAATTTATCTGGATTTTTACAGGACAAATTCCAGGATAGTTTCTATGACTTTTATACACGACAGCTGTTGCTCTAGAAAGGTCACCTTGAAATGACATACAACTCCGGACATTCTTGGCATTAAACAACGTCTAACAACATCTTTACTCACTGAGACACACTCATACAAACCATTCCTCAATCATAATAATTTTCCATTTATACAAAAATGTTAGAAGTAAATATTACGTGTTGCAAGAAGCTGACACAGGAACATAATGGACACTCAAACTGGGCATAAACAGCTAAAATTATGTTTAAATATTTGAGAGAAAATACATGAAAATATGCAATCTCTTTATACTTTTTCATGACTGGATGAATCTCCAGGTTTTCCAGGACATATAAGAAAGTTTCAAGTTATCCTGGAAGCGGCAACCCTGGAAACACTCAAGTCAAAGCTGTGTCGGGATTCTAAGACTTCCTTTTTGCCGAGACTACTCGTTCTCAGGAAGCATGGGCTCATTAAGTTTATTAATGCAAACTCAAATATCATCTGATATTGTAATATCATAATCCATAAAATGCTGTGATATTAAATGTTATCAACACCACCCAGCATGACCTTCGTAGTGTAATGCTGAGGCGTTAGTACTCCAGTGTCCCAAGTGTGCAGCATATCAGTTTCCAGCACAGATATTTCTTTCAATACAAGCTATTTCCCATTTCACTGCAACAGGGGCCTTTCCCACCTCTGTTTAGGCTGGAGAGAACAGAACAGTGCTGTTTGATTGTTCTCTGGTGGGTATTTTGAGCAGGCATTGAGGAAACTGTTTGTGTGTATGTGTGTGTGTGTGTACATGTGTGTGTGTGGGTAATCCTGCAGGATTTAGCTACTCGGCTCTGGCCTCGGGGAGGAGGACATGCTGCACTGAGTTGACTGAGACTGGTGAGTCAGAGACTAGCTTAGAGGCGCATTCGGCTCGCCTGCGTTCCGCTTCCACTTCCTAATTGGACCCCTACCCCATCACTGAACCTGTGACATCATGCGCACTCTGGCCATGCCGTTAACAGAATTTCGCACGACACCCCACCCTGCTAATATTGGCACAGCGTATGGGCTGTGACAGAATGTCACAGTTTGATCTGCGCTAATACATCTGGAGATTCCGCTTCGCCGAACAATGCTTCATGCTCCAGTGTTGAGCGACTTGATAGCCGTGGAAAAACAGTGCTAATGTAAACAGAGCCACTAAGAGGCCCTTAGAGAGATCGAGAGTGGAGGAGAGCGATAGAACTGAGAGAGTTTGAGACTTTTTTCATTTCAGTTCAATTCGTTTCAATTCCATTTTGCAATTTCTTTGAAGGAAGAGCATGAAAAACAAATGCTGAGATGAACCAAGACTCGAAAGAAAAAACTTGCTAAAAGCATGAGGTTTTTTTGTGTGTGTGAAAGGGTGTGAAAGGTCAAATGTGACATTGTGTAACCAAGCTAACATTAGCATAGTGGCAAATTCTTTCACTACCTCCAATAATATAGCCCAGTTTAGTAGTATGGCCTTTTATACTGGAAACTCAAAATCAAGTAGCAATTACACTAATTTCTACAATTACTTATTAGGTTGAATGGGATTTTCTATTTATATAGCTTCAAATAACTGTAACCGTTCTATAATAGTCCTCCTAATTTCTCCATTGTTCTTTCTACATTTCTACTGTTGACAATGCTATCAATTTTAAATTATTGTAATTGTGCTGTTGTATTTGTATGAGTGAAAACTAAGACCAGAATACAACCCTATAATAGAGATGTTCAATCTCACTTAGGTTTTCCTGGTTAAGTAATAGCTGATTAAAAAAATAAATAAATTAGTGTGCTATCAGTATTCCAGGAGCAGCTAGGCTGAACATGTCTGGTCTGTCAGCAGCAGTGCTAGCCACCGACTTTTGACAGGTTCTTTAACAGCCACTGCCCTGTCTGGAGCTAGTGCTCAAGACAGGCTGCCACAGCAGCCGCACAATTGCAGCCTTGTAGTTCATTCATGAGGGCAAAAAGGCTATTAACAACTCTGATAGCTTTCCTGCACCAGCATGGGTTTCCCAGCCATCCCCGGGACATTAAAGGTCGCAGGAGTGTCAAGGCTGGGGCCGAAATGATACACTGATACAGCTTTAGGAGTAATTGCTTCAAAGGGCCCCGTCCTTGAGGTGCTACAACTGCACCTGCTTAAACAATTGGGCCTGCCTTTCTGGCAGCAGTGGGAAGGCTCGTTAGAAATTCCACCCTTTCCCGGCCGTTTCTGCGGGTGCTCTTTCAGCGCCGGGTGTAAATCTAGCCAAAGACTTGACAGCGTCAAATTAAGGACTGCAGCACAGTTCAAGGGCGGAGGGCGAGAAAATAAAGACCACGCTGCCGCACACGGCAGAAGAGAGATGAGCAGCCTTTCGCACCGCTCTCAATTTCCAGGCCGTTGAGAACGGACAGCGTCAGACGAGTCCTTCAGGTGGAAAATGGAATGCTAAAAGCACTCTCTTCACTGACAGAATATTTGTTAGCTTTAAATCTCCCCCTGCAGACCACTCATCAACAGTACGTGTGTAAATCTTTAACCTCACAATCATTCAGTTATGGTAGAAAACATGACTCATTGCATAATTCAATATAAATATAAATTAGACTGCATCATATTTTGCATATTATTCTAATTACAACTGATTTTAAAGACCTTCACACACACTGAACATGACTTGTTCGTTCAATTTCTTCAGACGTCAAAAAATTATTCTAACACATGCAAAACTGCATTTACTATACAGGCCTACAAAAGTGAATAAATATATACTTCATTTCTTAGAAAGCTCCCTATGGTGATGCACATTGGTTGTGATTGCAGTGTTCTGTCATCACATATATCCATATAAGCCTGGGCCGGTAACCCAAACCTCTTATTTTGTGTTTTAAGTGTTGTCGCAGATTTGACTTATTCCCGTATTTGACAGAGACTGTCAGCAAATGGCCTTCACCACATTTTCTGGTCCTCCTTTAAAATCGATCCAAAATGGTTTCAGACGGCTGCAGTGATGCTAGATTTTAAAATGAACTCTATGCTGGTGTCGTTTTTCTGGTCTTCTGACCAAACCTCTAAAGAGAGGCAAGTTTGCAGGTTATAAGGGAAAGACCCCACAGGTTGCAAGAAAAAGTGCAGGAAACCATGGGCTAACAAAGATGAATATAGTTCAATTATACAGTACATGCCCACATCTTAATGCAATATGGTTCAAGTTAACTGCAATTAGACCATATGCAGCTTACCTGCCCCACTGTCACACAGCCCCGCCCCCCAAAGCACGTTCAGCAAGCGCAGCTCAGCAGCTGCGTTCCAGCATCAATCTAATCTAATAATGTAGAATATCACATCACCTTACAGGTTCATAGACAGCTGGTATATGAATTTTTTACCATAACTGATGTTTGTTACCTTGGTAACCTGCTTAATCGTCACTGGGCACAGGCCTTTTAAAAGAAGGTATCGAAAAAATGGGTTTTGGACATTTGAGAGTATGAATTATAAAGCTCATTATGATGCTGAATCTCCTGAATGAGGGATTGAAACTCTCTATGCTCCTTTTCCTTTTTCCAAAACAGGATGTAGCCTAGCCTATGTTAGTGTTTGAACTTTTTTATGAAGATCTTTATCACTTGAGGGAGGCATTTTGTATATTTATATGTATATGTATTTCCAAAAATATGGAGAGACTGTATGTCCAGTTTGCATAGTTTATCCTTTCTGAATATTTTGAGCTTTTCATCTTTCATTTGCAGCATGTTTAGCGTGTAACAGCCTTTACATTCCAAAATTGATGCCGCTGAATCGCCACCATCTGATTTATGCATACACTGGTAATCAACAGGGAAATAAATATCTCATGTATAATCTGACTGTGCAAATTCTCTTTATATCTCCTAGACTGGCTACTTAAGGACATGCATCTCTTTTATAAAGGCAGCTACAAAATCACACGGTGCCTTTCAAACACCCCATTTCTGATCAGCATATCACTCCTCATCATCATAAGACCAAGTGCTCCTCTGTCTGTTTCCTGGGATGCAGGCGAGCGTCTCCTTTGAACACATTGTGCCTGGTATTCAAAGTGGGACAGGATGTGTGGAACAGGATATTGTCACAGGCTCCTCTTCCTGCTCTGTCTTTGTTACACAGTGATGTCAGGGACGATTCTCGTGCCAGAGAGAGCGCAATAAGGAGCGGGGACACACACATTTCCCACCACTGAGCTGGATCTAATGAATAGACGCGGAGACGTGGACATGCCAATAACTCCCTCTGTCAGACCCCTCTGCCAGCTAATATGCAGGAGCCAAATTGATTTTTGTGTAGAAATCCATTGCCACAGATTATATTAGTTGATTTAAATATATGTGGCGACCTTAAATAAGTAGTGCAGCGTACGCTAATTACAAGTGCTAAGCTAATCAAAGCCCATCTAGGCATTGAAAATGAAAACCACTGAAATGTATCATCCACATAATAACATCACCTTGTTATTTACACTGGTGTAATATTACAATGCTTGCCTGCTCATTGATACTAATACATTTCTGCGGCAAGTAACAGAAAAAATGATCTTTTACCATTAATTTGCTAGTAATTCACAACATGATGCATTGTTTGACCCTTAGATGTCTAGATGTTTTATGGAATTTTGCTATACTATTTAAATGTAATTATGTTCTTATATAATGCATTAAATACTTATTTATGTTATGAATACATTCATATTCGATGTATATTCTGTAGGGCCAGATTTCTTTACTGTGTTCATTTGTTGTTCCGCAAAATGAGACCACAACAATAACACTTTCATCAATATTTCATCAATATTAGGGAAGTAACAATACAACTTATGTATTTTTATATACTACATTACAAATACAGTACTGTGCAAAAGGTTTTAGGCAGCAACTTATTTTTAAAAAGCTGTTTATCTGAACATCGGCAGCTCAGAAGGATAAGTGGCTTAGAAGATGGATGTTTATCAGAACAGCAACCATTATTTGCTCAGAAAAAAACACATTAAATTACCATGAATTCAAATGATATTAATACAATAAGTAGCAATTTTATATATATTAGTGTGATTGTTCTACCATTTCCAAACCTCTCCTTGTGGCAGCACAGTATTATTTGTAGTTCATAATAATCATCCAACACCTGTTTTGGCTAATTAATACTTCATTATATTAAATCAGATGTGCTGCTAATGGAATTGAACAAATCCATGTAATGTCTACATCAAAATTTGGGAAAAAAAAGACATTCATGTTACTTTTTACTCTTTTTATATTCTACAGATATACAGTGATTTTATTAGCACTAAAATGAATTTATTTCCCAGATAAATGGCTTTAAATCATGTGCTAAGATGCATAAGACTTTTGCAAAGTACTGTATATACTGTATCGCAGTGTTATATTACTGTATCTTGACTAAAATGTTATGTAGCTTGGGGATAATTTGTTTTAAATATTGCATTTCTATAATGATGAACGCCATAACAATCAATAAAAATGAAACATAAAAATATTAATGTGAAAAATATTTTTATGTTTCATTTTTATAGATTGTTAGGGCGTTCATCATTATAGAAATGCAATATTTAAAACATATTACTCCCAAGCATTTTCAGCCACTCCTTGTTTTTGCTGTATCAAAACGTTCATCAAATCGATACACTACTGTATTGTATCAAACACAATAACACATTTTTTGAATCATTACTTTCATTAAATATTTTCTCTTCTACTTACAAAACACGAGCGTGGTTCAAATGTGAATCTGCACCTATGACAAAATTTCTGTTTCAATGAGCTGTGAGTGAGAAATAATTCAAACGAAATGACAACATACTTCCAACAGAGCTGGTGATAACTGTGTCTTCTAGGGGTTACTGCTGTATGTGCTTCTGCTAAGAGAGCAAACAAACTGAACTTGGCAGAGACACACACTTAGCGGATTTCGCAGCAACAATCCACAGTGTGCGCGTCTTGCCGTAGGCCTGAGCGCTGAAGGAGGAAAAACAGCTGTGTTCTCACCTGCCGCTGAGCAGGAAGCCGGTGACCAGTGCCAGCAGGATGATCCCCACGGTAACCGCCACAGCGATGACAGGCACCTGGCCCTGATCTCTGGAGGCAGACACTGAAGAGACAGGAGAGAAATCAGGAGTAGCAGATATACATGACCACACACTGCTCAGTACAGCTTAGCTCATTTCAGACAAGCTCTTCTCAATACATTAGCATTTATTCACTAAGAAGATGCTCTTATTCAGAGTGATTTACAAAATGTGCAAAAAGTGGAAGCCAAAACGATACAGAGAACCCAGACAATCTAGATGGATTTATGACTTCAAAGACGAAAGCTCCATCATAGCCTGATTTAGTTAAACAAATAAATACACATGTAAACCTTGAGAACAAATTAGGTTTTTTAGTTTGTTTACTGTTTTTGATTGTATGAAGACCAGTGTATTAGGTGGAGAGACTGTATAACTCTGGCCAGGGATAAATATAGATGATTGACTTTAAAATTATAATTTGTCAAATAATGACAAAAATGTACATTAAAAAGTACCAGTATCTTATACCCCACAGTTTAGTATTGTACAAACTGCAACTGATTTTACTGTAAAAGTTTTAAAGTGAGAAGAATGATCAGGGAGGTCAGGCAAATTGATCGTAAGTCAATATGAAACACGTTATGAAATGGTCATTATTAAATTGTAGGCCAAAAGCAAAACATATCAGTCTAGGATGTCATATTATGCACATAGCATTAACTGTCAGTAGTGCTGCATGATATAAACATAAAATGCACTTTTCAATAAAGCCATTACACATGACAACAATGTTATGTGAGGTAATAAATTATGAGCCACAGATGGGACGTATCGCAAGTACAACTTTTTTTGTATATATGTATTTCCTTATAATGCTTCTTAGGGTGGCCATTACAGACAAAAACAGAAAAAAGAATTGTCATTTCATTTAAAGTATTTTTGGGCTGTTTAGCCAAATGATTGCTCTTAATGCAGCCCAAGCCCAGAGCAGAGAAGCACTTGGTGGGCTTCTAAAACTATGTTCCCTCCTATTTAACTGCATCTTGTATGAGGTAATTTGATCTATTTATTCAATGTGTTTATTGTGGAAAAGTATTACTCAATCAATCAAAAAGCATTTATCCAGATTCTGAAACATAAATGCAGACCAGAAACTGATTAAGCATATGTAAGTTTGTTGGCAAAATATACTGTATTATACATTACATGGCTCTTTGACTTACAGTAGGGGCTGGTCTCAAACTCAAAGCGCCGGCTGAAGCCACCATAGCCTGCGGAGGTGCGCGCTCTGATCTGGAAGATGTACGCTGAGGCTGGTTTCAGCCCATCCGCCACAACCTCTGTCTCCTTTGACTTTATGATAGTATAACTTGTCTCCTGATCCTGCAGTACAACACAAAAAACAGAATGACCGAAAATGTTAAGAGCGAGAGAGAGAGAGAGAGAGAGAGAAAGAGAGAGAAAGTAAGTAAGAAAGAAAGAGCTGTATGGGGGGTGGGTGCAGGTCAGGATCACTTTCATGCTGTAGTGGAGGGCTGTGTGGTCCATTAGAGGAGGGGGCACTTTTCTTGTTAAAGTGCCTCATATCAGTGTTTCCCAGACCAGGCCACTGCGCTGAGGTCATGCAGGAGCTCAGCCACTTTCTGCGTGATTCTTCCTTTAAATAGCTTGAACAGTGCAGCGGGCCAAAGCCCTGGCGTGAGGAGCAATCCGAGACGGCCATCAGCAGCTTCAGTTTCAACCTTTTTGTGAGCTTTTGTGGCTAAAGGGGAGACGTGTCTCCACCAGTCGCCAAAGCCATACTGCACTAAACACTTCCATTAACACAGTGAGCTCAGCTCTTTCCCTTAATGCCCCTTAAACGAAATCTGAGAAAAATCATGCAACAGAAAAAAAGAAAACATTCTTCTATGCTGACAGTCCAAAACAGTTGCTCTTTTGATGTACGCCAAAATACAAATGCACGGGAAATAAACATCTAAGCATGCTTGTCAGTATTTTGTATGTCCTCCTCTTGCTTTAATGACTACTACAGCATTACTATGTTATGCTTTTAAACAGTTGTTTAACGAACTAAGGGAACTGCTATCCTTGCACGCTTCACTTCTGCCCAGACTGTTCAGTGATTAAGAGACACTGGTGTTGACAAAATGTGATTCTTTTCCACCAAAACAGTTTATGGGGATGTAATTCTACTCTGTGTAAGAATTAGTGAAACAACAACATAAACAGAGAGCGCAGATTGTGGCTGCATCACAGCAAGATTTGCACCACATCTTCTCACACACATTTGATCCCAAGACGTTTGTGTGCTGCAATGTTATTCTGTTGGTAAATGTTCTTTCATCAAGTGTTTGAGTGCCTCCATGTAGCCACTGTGACTGCTGGCATTGTTAAAAAAGTCTCTTAACAACAGGCCTTTGACACACTGCTGCTAATTTATGCCTGGTTTTAAGAGGCGGAAAAAATTACACCCAAATCCTGCCATCGTTAGTTGCTCAAACTCAAATCAAGTGGAATCCGTAATTAACTGAACATCTAATATCTCCATCCATTTTCCTTCTCAAATTTATACACGTGTTTTTCCATGCTCAGGAGCCATAAACTGCGTTAGGTTTGCACACCAGTTGTCTAATTTGTACCTGCAAGTGCTTCAAAAGGCTTAGTACATCTGGTCCATCATATTTCTCATCACTATCAATAAAAAAAGATTTGAAATTTGAAAAATGGTCTAAGATCAATCCATTCATATATAGGCAATATTTACTAAACCAATAAGGCACTTAAGGTCATGCACTGCAGCAGTTTTACCATGATTACACTATGCACTGTGATCAGTTACAGGAATGTTCAACAAATACTTTAATTTATTGCAAGTTATAAGCACAATAAACAATTCTTTCGCTGAATAGTGAATTTCACAGTAGGCTGTGGTTTGCCTGGCAACAAGTAAAGCACAATGGCTTTTTATAAGTGCGTGCATTATTATAACATTTAACTGATATGTCTGGTAGCTCAGTCCAATTTTAGAACTACCTGTTTTATAACAGTTGTTTTTCAGCACTCTTTCTCTATACTGCCCAGTTTCAGCTGTGTGTTTCTGTGCTCACCTTTTCAAAGTACTTGATCTCGTACTCCAGGATGATGCCATTGGGCCGGTCAGGTTCTTGCCAGGACACAGAGATGCTGTTCTTCGCTGTCTTTCCTTTTTTTACCACAGTGATAGGAGATGGAGCTGAAAAGAAAAAAAAAAAGCTTTTGTTCATTCTTCATTCCAAATCAAGTGAAAAATACTTGGGATGTAATGAAAGGTGTGATGCAATATAGAGTAATTGCAGACAGTGTCATATTTGCCTTTAAATTTTAAAGTTGACCCAATTAGCTCTTCTTAATTAAAGAGAGATTCATGTCTAATACTGTCAAATATAGCTGATTGCTAATGGTTAAAAAGTGCATTTGATTCATGTTTTCTCAAGAAAAGCAAACCATAGAATGTAAAATATTCTGGTCTCAAGCAGGAAACACAATCTGATGGGAAGCCTTGACACATACTTTTATCTCAGCTGTTTGATGAGAGATGAAACCAGCTTTGAAAGTGGCTTCGGGGGATGACACAGTTTACTGTTTACACACTCCATTTACCACATATAAAAGAACACGGCATCTGGTAATAATCTCTCTTAATTCACAAACTTCTTATTATAGTCTAAGCATTGCATCAGCCTTAACAAGCATGAAATTGTTTTATGTGCACAACTTGACCATAAAATAATTAAACTGCCCTCTGTCTAGTCACACCTAGTCTGTTCACTGTGTTACTAAACACCATTATGATTCAAATGCAGTTCTCTGGTGACGTGAAATGGCTGTTGTTATGTGCTTTTCAAAATAATGTCACTTTATGCACCACACTTAGGGCTAGAACTGAAATTCAGTACTTTTATGGTTACAGAGTACCAAAAATTCCATGTCATTTCTCAAATTTCAAGGCCTTAGTTGTTCATCTGTGAGTCAACAGACATGCTTGTTCTAAAATATAGACTGGTGATTGGCTGTCAAAATTGCATATTAATGTCAGCGCTTCCTGATTAGTCTGCAATTCATTGCTGTGTATCGTGCTTTGCATTTTGTAAAACAAAAGAGAAGCCATCAACTTTGCTGCTGAGCACCACAAAAATGTATCATGTCATTCTCAGCTGACCATTTACTATTGGAAGATGTGTTCTTTCTAGTCAACACAGGAGGAAAAGCTGTCTGTTTTTAAACTCCAAACAAATATTACTATAACCTGAATGTAAAAAACGAATGTGAAAAAGCATTTTTATTTTTATTTTTTTGAGGTTGAATTTTTTTTATCATTTATCGTCTGCCTCAGTCTTCCGCTTTCTCTCAACTGCTGTCATGTTTATCTACTTGTCAATCAATTGTTTAAACCTGTCCTCTAAGAAGTATATCCTGCTTGTTTTTGAGCATGAATTCTCATTAAAAAGGGCGTCGTCTGAAGACCCTCTTACCAATCTACAACTGAAGCTGTTTGGTATTAACCCTGACAAGAAAGCATGGTGTAATTTGTTGTTAATTCATTTTTACTTGTACCTTATTGAAACAAGCAGAGAAATTCTATCTAGATTGTAAAATCTAATTTTTTTATTCATACCATAGTATGAATATGTAAAAGTAAAAGTAAAAGACGAGACATTTTATCATTATTTGAATTTGATTAAAAGTTACTGTGCATAGAGAAAAGATTTTTTTTTTTATTTATGTTTTTACCATGTTTTTGTTGTGTCAGAATAAAGGTGACTTAAAGGTGTAGACGCAGAATGAAAACTGAATGTAAGTGTAATTTGTTGGCTAATCTGCTATCCAATAAAATCTGTAATTACATTTCCATAGTACAACAAAACAAAAACAACTTTTGACTTCTAAGGGTTAAACCTAAGCTGTTCTCAGCAACCTTTAAGTACTGTTCTTTCTGCCTTAACCGAGTCCTATCCTGTCTCCACACACAAAAGTGCCGTCCGTCTGCATGCGAAATGCAGAAATCTGAGCCTGTTGTGTATTCAGGAACCGAAGTGTCAGACTGTAACCGTGAGATAAAGAGTATTTAAGCATGTCCAAATGATCCCCGAGGTGCCGATACAGTAGCCGTGCTGCAACAGCATGCCGTTTAGGGGAGCAAAGAAAAGTCTTCTCTCCCCTTCAAAACAAAGAGTAACAGTATCCCTTCTTTTGCCTAGACAAAACTATAATCATTCCTATCTTAAAAGCCTGAAACTGAATACTTGGCAACCCGATCTGCGAGCAGGCAGGAAAAAAGCTGCTTTGTGGAGGGTGGCCCAGGCCACTTAAACGGTCTGGCAGCCTGTTAAATGTTTGACTTTCAGTCAAGCAGGAGACGCAGTCCCTTTGAGTTATTGATTCTCAATAAGCCTTAAGGCAGGCGAGGGAAATTTTGATCTACATTTGTGATGACAGGAAACAAAAACATGAGTGGGGGGTCTGAACAACAAGAGCACTGGTTAACAGTGTGTGCCACAGCATGTTTCAGATAAGGGAATATTCTCAACATTCATGCGTTTAAAAATCAGCAGCAGTGAAAAACAGGGGTGGGAGAAAAAAAAATGTGTTGTCCGATATTTTGGGTCAAAAAATAGCATCAAGGTAGATAAGCATCAAGACTTGTCTCTGTCCTGGCGCCCAGGTATAGAACGAGTAGCTTCCACTGGGTGTCTAAACAACAACCAAGAGTCCCTCGTGATTTTCAAACGCAAAGTGAAGACCCATCTCTTTGTGAAGCACTTAAGTGAACACTTATCTATTGAAATGCACATGTTTATTTCTGTATCTTTCTTTGTAAGTATTAGCACTGCCTTTTGTTACTGGCAGTGTCTTAGCTCAAGGGTAGTTTGGACTAAACCTATTTGTACTAGCAAGGGCACTCTCTGAGCAGACAACAAAGCACTGTTGTAAGTCCTTCTGGATAAGTGTGTCTGCTAAATGCTGCAAATGTAAATTATCAATTAGGGCCTGGCTGATATATCAGTTGACCAATGATATTGGCCGATATTGACAACCTGCATCTTTATCGGTATCGGCAAAAATATTGCAGATAACTAACAACTTTTTTTAGTTACTGGGATTTGAACTTACATTCTCATGACAACAAACCAAACTTTAACAATGTTGTGCACCTGGCTAACCTGATATGAGACACTTCCTTTTTCAATAAATGACAGTAAAACAGGCTAAATAGAAACCAAACTGCACAGAATTGTTGGTAGTTCTGCCCTGAGTTTAAAAAGTCTGACAGTTGAGAACCAACAATTATATCTGTCACTAAACACTGTTAACCTAAGACTCTTAAAGTTTGAGGTAGTTCCTTTCCATTTTAGATGACTCTTCCACTACCTTTGTGCCTCAGGTCCGAGTAGAACACAACATTGGCATTCCCACTTTCCAGGACAACAACAGTAAGGTATGTGTATGTGACTGGCATGACAGACATGATGGATCACTAGGACAGTTTGACTGACCTACAGATCATCAGACCTCAACCTCAATTCTCATTTTGTACCAGTATGTGAAAAGCTGAAACAGACACACAAACTTTGGCTAAAATGTGCACCCTGTCTGTCGAAGCGTGGATTAGAATGGCCAGGAACTCAAGAGACAGGTGTAATCTTTACCTGACAGATCTGATGCTATTATTAAGGCAAGGGGACAGGTAACAAAGTAGAAAATGAATGATACATGCTGCTAATTTTGAGCTTTTTTCAGCCAATATTGTTGGTAATTGGAATTTTGGCTCCCTTAAATCTATAAATCATATCAGCCACAGTATTATCATCTTGGATGGGCCCTAGTATTGATACATGGTGGCCCAAGTACTTAGCATATTACAAATCTCTACAAATCAAAATAGAATGGCATCATGGCTGAAGTATAGTGAGAATATTGTATTGTGGGGCCTGCAGTGATTCCCACTCATAGTAAACTCATCTAAAATAATGCACAATTGCTGGTATTGAGTGATAATTTAGTAATAATTTGCAGTCTGTAGAATCTGTTATATAATATGATACTGATTATTATATTCTTAAGTGTCACTGATACAGAACCTTTCGCAGAGGTAAATGCCTGCATTCATTATCAAACAATTCTCATCATTACTAATTAAGAGGCTACATCAAGCTAATTCTGGTGGACAAAGGATAGCTAAATAAAGCATAACCAAAATTCCTCTACAATCGCTATGGCAGCCTCTCTGAATTCATTAACAGATGGAACACCTCTTGTAGAGGAAGTGTGGCAGAGGAAGTGTGATGATGGTGCTCTGATTAATGGCTCCAATTGGGAAGTGTTGCCATCCTCCAGTGTGTGAAGCCGCTAACACTGCACCTTTGCCAGCAAGGGAGCCGCTAACGCCGAACAGCGAGGAACGTCAATGCTTCCACACCCAGACGTGCTAACATTCCTTTTTTCGGCAAAATGGATCACGCGCTAGCAAATCTGAGCTTCTCAAGCTTCGATTAATCACTCTTATCAAACGTGCCTGAAGCTGGATGTAAGGAACACCAAAAAACGTAAAGACTTTACTTTTCCTTAGCGGTACAACAACAACTCTGGGCAATATTGGTTTTCAGAAGAGTTTTTTTTCAGGCATGCACATGCATATAATTTAACTGAAGTTAGTGCTCTGGGCCCACAGTTTGGCTAAGGGGAAGAAAGGTCACGGCTTCCAAGACAACCCCGTCCGAGTGCCAGGGTGAAGCTCTCAGCGGGCCATGTGTTTGTAAACAAGTGTTGCTGGGGGAGTCCTGCCGAGAGGCAAGATGAAAAACCTCTGGCAGAGCCGAGCAGCTCACCGGCCAAAAGCAGCGCTGAGATATGACTCCTGCCAAAAAGCTCCCATGCCAACATGCGCCCTGCACGGAGAACACCGGCCTTCAACAATCCTGCAGCAATGCATTTGAACTAAAGGTCTCTGCCATCAAACTGTCCTGTTCTCCTTCTATACAAATTCAAATACACCCCTATACACATGTATGAACACACAGCTATAGGATACATTACAGATTGACTCTTAGGCACTACTGGGAAGCTCATTATTCAGTTATTAATATTAAAGCTAATGACACATTAATATGCAGAGTTGGGTGCTACAGTCAGCTACTCAGATTCAAACCACACTTAAGTCACATGTTGACTGGCTTGAGACTTGACTCGAACATC